GCACCAGACCCTCTGCCAGGGTGTCAACGTCCAGAATTGTTTTAAGTGTTTATGCTTCCCAGTGTCTATCTGATTAAGAGTTAAAATTCTACAGTGTTGTGGTGGACTGCAAGGCTTCTGGAATCAGACTCTCTGGGTTCAACTCCGGGATCTGGCTGTGAGACCTCCTGATGGTCATTCACTTTTGGGGCGGTCGTTTTTCTTTTGTAAAATGAGAGAGATGTGTTTTGCCTCATTGGGCTGTAATGCTTAGCAAGCACATAGAAATGTTACCTGTGATCATTAGAGTTACTATTTTAGGAATAACATATTCCTGAATGGATTTCAAGCCATTTTATTTCATTTCCTAAAGGGGACGCTGGTACCCAGCCTCTGATTTAGCAGCCCAGAGTGGTTACAGGGGTCTAGTGCGTGCCACCATGAATAAACATCTAAGAAAAACATCTGCATACTGACCAAGCAAATGTGGCTTCTAGCAAAGCACTATATCTCGCTCCTTCAATCAGAGTGTCATCCGTAGTCTCTTTCTGAAAATCTTCCATTTCTACTGCCTCTAACCAAGCTGACGCTGCACATTCATAGCAACCCCATGCCCTGTGTTGCAGTGTTCAGTAACCCCAGACTGTAAGTACTCCCTCCTCCTAAATAGGATTTATAAAGTGTGACTTTGAGCAATATCGCTAAGTCAATTTTATCTGAAGGAAAATATTTTTCTTTACTTGTGTTTTGGAATTCTTTCTTCGGCGTCTCAAAATGATTTAAAACCTAATCAATGATAAAATTCCAAGCCATCTAAAGACAAAGAATGGAGGAAAAAAGGCAGAGCCACTTTAATCAAGCAAGTGGCTGCTGTGTCCCATTAACCCCAAGAGATTATTTACACTCCATTTTTTTTTTTTTAAGATTCTGTAGTTTGGTCATCTGTCTTAGACAGCCAGAGCGTACAAAATCACTTTTGCTTTTTGTAAATTAATTCATTTTGGGCTGTGCATTTGTGAGACATTCTGGGAACCTTTTTTCAACATTTTCTTGATTAAAAGATGTGTATTTTGAAAATGGGTGGAGAGAAAGGAATTTATAATTCTTAAAACCAAGGCATGATTTACCGCGCTGACTGCTGCCTAAATCAATCCGTGCATCCTCAACAGATGAATGAAACATTAAAGATTAGGAAGAGTTCCCACACTGGATGCTGAAACCTGTGGATTGATTGGTTCAATAACACTGAGAAAGTCTCCCTCTTTCAGCAGAATTTCTAGAATTCCACAAGCAAGAACACGACACAATAAACCACTTTTGAGTGTGTATTTTTTTTCAAAGCACTTCTGAAAATATATCCTTTCTGCACAGTCTGGGCTTCCCCTCCTGTTTATAAATTACACATCTCATTTTCATGCACACTGCTTCCCCATCCTCATCCCAACTTGGGTTTGCTTTGGACTATTTGGTTTAATTTTTTTCCCGGGAATTTGTTGGGCCCTTCAGAGGACACGTTTATTGTTTTAGGCATCATGCAATTCGCTAAATGGTGTTCTGGTTATGGGAATGCTCACAAAGGGACCTGGGCGGGGTGGGGGTGGGTGGGTGGGTGGGAATTAAGTAAACACAGATTGATCATCCTGTAGCCAGTGCTTCTTATGCGATCAGTCAAGGCCTCAGTCTGAACTGTTCCATCTAATCTGTGATACCTAAAGCTGGAGACATTTTTCTGGCTCCCTGGTGGTTTTAAAGGCTATGCAATGGGAAAAACTGCTTTAAACAAAGTCTCATTTTAAAAGAAGCTGAGTCCAGAATGGAATTCAAAGAATTTGAAGAGAGGGGAGGTGAAAGTGGTAGCTAACAGCTTTTAAAAGGCCCTGAGAATTTTAAGAGAGTAAAGCACGGAAGGGAAGTACAAGAGAAACCCCCTCTGACCCAGGTTCAGACAGAGAGGCCAGGAAGCCACTTCGACAAGCATGGACTGAACACCTACTGTGTGCAGGGCTTGCAAAGGAAGTAAAGCTCAAGTGTTGTGGGGTCTTTGTCAGGAACTAAGTCACAGCTTTTTATGCCAGCAAAGAAACGTAAGCTTTATGCAGATATTACATTCCAAAGGGCAATGCATGTATTTTATGTAATTAAAATATTGGGAAAAGAAATTATTCTTCTGTGTAATTCATTTTAAAATTCTACATTAAAATGTTCATACTAAATTCAGTAATACTGTGAAAAAAAATGTTTATTTCAGAGAAAGGAGCTGGAGGCTCTGGGCTTTGTTCCTGCCCATGCCTACTCTCTCCACTTCCCCATTCCTTAATCCTCAGCCAGTTTGTGTTTGCATTGGACAATTCTGTCTTATCCCCTCCCAACTCCACAGTGAATGAGAAACACACATGGGAAACATGGTCGAAACCTTGACGTGCTTTATATATGAGGTGCTATAAATCTGGTCTAGGAAAACAATGGGAACTTTAGAGGAAAAGAGAATTCTAGGAGCCTGTCACAGATTTTGTTGGCTGACCATATCCTGAGATTAGGATTAGACAACAGACAAAGAATCTAGCACCAAGTTTCTTAGCATGGAGGCTGCAAGAATGACAGAAGCACTGCAAAAAATGGGGTAATCGTGATGTTCATGTGGGGAACTGGGAAATGAGAAAACGTGTAATAGTTGTGATCTGATACACTGAATTAAGAAGCATTGTCTTATAGCCAGTTGGAAAGAGAGATTGGGCAAATCTGAAGTTTGGGAAAGTATAAAACAAACTATTATAGCAAGAAACAAGACTGAGTAATGCTAAAACTTGGCCTTCTGTCTCTATAGGCTCAGTGCTATTTTTTTTCATTTTTATGACGCATTATATATCCTAAATATCAAGCATCTACTATACATCAAGCACTAGGCTAGGTGCTATTTGTGTAAGAGTTGGCACATTTCCTGCCGTCAGAGAACATACAGACTAATACTCGAGAAAGTCATTAAGTAAGCCAAAAATGCATTTAATAAAGACCAAAGATGCTTAAAACTATAAAGGAAAATAACAGAATTCTGTAGGGTAATACTTAATTTGAAAGTAGAAGGGAGGGTAGATTAGAACCAACCCAGCACAGCTGGGCTGAGAATGGGAAGAGTAGAAAGTGGGAAGTATGACTGGGACTGGCCCAGGAAGTGATTGGAGAAAAAGTTAAAAAAAAAATCATACGGGGTTTCAGGGCTTTTAAATAAGTGCAGTGGAAAGCCACCGCGGGATGCTATCTAACAAGTGTAGCTCTCTGTGAGTAAGATCTCACTCAGTTCTATTTTCAGCACATCGTATTATTTACCTGGGCCCAGCAGGCCTGTCAATTTGGGCTGCAGCACACAGTTGTGCAATGAAAAGTCTGTATTATTTGTATGCTGGCTGTATTTCTTGACTGTCTTTAGATTGAGACTGGAGAGGCATAGAGTACATCACATTTTCTTCTTCATTTTCTCCACTTAAATTATTATATCATCTAAACTTTCTCCAAGATTTTGTAGTTTCGCGTTATGTAAATAAATACTTTTTGCTATTGCGCCCCCAACTGGCTGTTTGATAAGTGCACACCTCCCAATTCTAATAGAAGAGTTAATGAGTCTTCAGGTTAGACTCAACCAAAAGTTTCCCCAGGGGAGTCTTGATGAATGTGCTTATTGTGCCTTTGGGTAATATTCAAGTTACAACTGAGAAATCCTGGCATGGTTACATAGGCTAATACCATTGGCAGATATAAAACACAAAGATTAACGTTACTATTATTCTTACTAATATTTATTGTAGACTTACTAACTTCCAGGAACCGTTGTGTTTGCATTAAGTCAAGGTTTTTTAAGACTTTATAGCAAAAGAAAGTGTTATTATTATCTTCTTTATATTAATGAGAATGCCGCCTCTGAGAACTTAAGGCACCATTTAAAGGTCACCTCACCAATGAGAGTCACAGCAGGAATTCAACCCAGATTGTCAGTGTTAAGTTGAGAATTTTTGAGGATAAGGCTGTATCAAAAAGAAATAAGCCTAATGAGCAAATATATATCTAATTCTGGCATTTGTAATTATAAACACACATTGTATATTCCAATATACATTTTCATTTTCATACAATTTTCATTTCCATTTTGCCACGTAATGGTATCTCCAATTAAAACAATTGTTCTCTGATAAGAGTGATCCTTACCACTGCCACGGAACATTTGGCATGTTGATATATTTTTGGTCATTACAGCTGGGAGAGGCTGTTACCAAAATCTGGTGGGTAAAGGGTACATTGCAGTGAACAGGACGGCACCCACAGCAGAGTTATGCTGTCCAGGTGCTCAGGGGTGCCCACAATGAGAGCCTGCATTAGAGTCATTTAAAGAGGATCTTGATGGTAAGGAGGGAAAGGAGGCTTAGTCTTGCAAACAAGGGAAATTCATTATGAAGAAGCAGTTTTTGAAATGGAGGAAACAGCTGAGATGGATTCAAGCATTTAATCACTCCTAGAATCACTATTTGTAGAATGATTTCTATGTATCATCGTGCTGGGCAGTAATGGTGAGGAAAATATGAGGAGGTTTCTTTGGAGAAAAAAAGGGACGAAGAGCAAAGGCAAACCAAGGCTGCTTGGCTAGTAAAGTTATGGTGGAAGCAGAGCTTCCATGCCAAGAGTGAACTGCTTTATTCTAACAGGGAGATGTGCTGCTTTACATGTCTAAGGAGAGTCATTGTGGTTGGGGGCAGATTCAAAGGCCATATGCTACTACCAGGAGCACCTGATAACTTCTCTTTGTCCCATTTATGGCTGACTTTGTGCTGATCAAAATGGAGGGGCACAGGTGGGGAAAAGCAAAGGCTGGTCTCAGATGCAACACAGAGCAGTGCTATCAATATGCTGAATGTGTGTGTGCGCGCCTGGATTGGAGAGGACGAGAAGCTTACATTGCTTTCAGTTGTGCTGCTGGCCTGTGAGCAGGTGCTGGCTTTTGTTTTTCCAGTAACAGCTTTTTCTGTTTCCAGCAGTCCTATGCACCAGCTCCCCACCCCATGGCTCCTCCCAGCCCCAGCACAAACAGCAGCAGCAACAACAGCAGCAGCAACAGCAGCGGGGAACAGTTGAGTAAAACCAACCTGTACATTCGAGGCCTCCCTCCAGGCACCACTGACCAGGACCTAATCAAGCTGTGCCAACCGTAAGTGTCCTTCTGCTCTCTGTGCCCCTTCTCCCTCATGGTCTTGCCTACGTGGGCAGGACTTGGTCGTGTACCCAGTGCACCCATTTGATACCCATATCTTAGTGAAGAAGACTGTTCTTTACAAGCAGGACGTTTGATTCCAGCTTATTTTAGTGAGTTGAATTTGTTTAACTTTTGCTGTGGAGGGGAAGATTCTTGGGCAGACATACACAGGAGTGCTGGCTGATTTGTATATATTGACCTCAAATGTGAAGATCAGTGACAAAGTTGGGCTCTCAAGCGATGTGTCTGGTGGAGTCTATGGCAACTCTCATGAAAGAAGCTACTTTTCTGGAGAAATATTCATGAAAAGAATCTCAAAGACTCAGAAGTACTAGATTTCAGGATGATCACCTCTTGTATTTTGAAGCTTTTCTGGACAGTGCTTGGTAAATTCAAGTTCAGTCTGGCCCAGTCAATTGGAGAACTATAATGTTAATTATCTAATTTCCTTGACAATTTCTATTGCCACGTCTAGTGAAGCTATCTCCCAACAAGGCCAAGAACTTCACTTACTAAGTAGTTTTCTATTGGCTAGGAAGCATGGAAGTGATTAAATCCCCCACACAATGTTTTCATTAACCTGTTATCTACCGACCCTTATGCCATTATGTCTCATATCTGTCCAAATAAATTAGACATATTTAAGTTTAATCTCCAAATACATTTAAAAAGAATAATGAATTAAGAACTATAAACCTGTATTTTCAGATTGCTGTCTGATCATTTTCAACGTACTTTTGGTACCGATATATGTCATTTGCTTGTGCTTTAGCTGGGCCTTTTTAAATTTTAGGAAACTATTACTCAATTGTTCTTTTTCTCTTATGCAATGCTTTTGAAAGGAAGTTCCAAGGATATTTGTTTTGCTAATTTTCCAACCCCTAAAATATTGAAAGAGAAATACAAAGCAGACAGTATTTATTTGCCTTTGTTCTAAATTTTAAGATTGGGAGTACATATCAAAACAACAGAAAGCGGCAGATAAACTAAACACAAATACATCACGACATAATCTGTTGACAAGGCACCAGGTAGATTAGAGTGAGGGTGCCTTATTTGTGGAAGAGGCAAGGCAGAACCTTGAAAGATAAACATTTATTGAAAAGAAGTTATTTTTTAAATGTTCAAAAATGCTGGAGCTCATTCGTACATATACCAGTATATGTTAGGTTTTGTTCTATAGAATATTGAGGTGGAGAACTCGAAGATAAATCACTTAAATTTTTCTTGGGCTGTTGTTGGAAAAATTCAAACTGTATTTTGAAGAGCAAGGCCTTTGAAAACGTGAAAGATTGTAGGCTTTATGGCAGAGGGTTCAGATGAAATAGCTCCCTTTCCATGGATGCTGATGCAATAAGCGTACCTATTACTTTTGATTTGTATTTAATTCTCATTCTTAAAACATATTGATGGATGATGAAGAAAGGTTCTACTGATTGCTCTCTACCACTTGTAGAGTTTGTTGAAACATATTTTCAGGCCCAAGAGATTAGGATTCACTAGGTCTGGGGTGGACCCCCCCCAAAAAATATTTATTTCTAACAGGTTCTCTAGTCTTAGTGATGATGCTGGACTTTGGGGAAGCACTTTTTTCTATAGTCACAAAGAACACAGACTATTTCTTTTGCATAAAATTTTGCTTAACTGATAAAGGGACGTGCTCACCAACTGTATGAGATTGAGGCAATTCACTTCCTCACTTGGAGCCTCCGTTTTTCCTTTTTATTAAAAGAGTAGGTTAAGTTTGATTGTTTCTACATTTTCTTCTTGTATCAGTGGGATGCTGGAGCCAATTGCTAAATACTCAAAAATATTGTGAGAAATTTGTGACACAATAAGAAGCTTGATACTGGTCATAGTGATAGTATTTCTAACCCAAGAGTCAGCACATCCTACCAATCAGAGCTTTATTTTATTGGAAATCTGGCTTACTGGCATACTACTGATGTAGTGTCATACTATGAATTTCTCTGTCAATATTCATTTCTGCAAAGAATTGCCAGAATTTTATAAATGGAAATTATTACTTAATAGCCTATAATACATACTGGCGTTTTAAACTCAAGATGGAGATGTAGTGACAAGAAAACATTGTTATCGAGGAAATAAGTTTGTTAGTGTTTCTTTCATGCATTTGGGAAATATAAAGGCTGCTAAATGTACAGAGGGTAGTAGTTATTGGTTCATATTAATATTTGCTAGCTATTCAGATATGGCCTATTTATTGTTGTTGTAAAATTACACTAACAATTATTTATTATTACTATTATTTAATATAATTTAATAATATAATAATATTTATTATTATTAAAGAAATAATAAAATAATATAATAAATTTTATAATAATTTATATAATAATTGTTTAAAATAATATCATAAATTATTATTTATAATAATTAAAATTTGTGGGTTCTTCAGTGACTTATCTGTACCTGGGGTTTATGGCTTAGATTCTTTTCCCTAGAGAATCTTAGAGAACTTATGTGATCACACAACATAATATATTGGAAATAACTGTGGGCTGAGAGGTCTTTCATTCTTGGCAGTGCATCCACGGGATATGTGGCCTTATACAAACGACTTGTCTCCTCTTAACTTTGGTTTCCCTCATGTATGTAATGATGGATTTGAATTCAATAATATTTTGTACTTCTTTCATTCTAAAATTTTACTGTTTGATTGTGAACTTCGTTAGTGGCAAAACTCCTCGAGATCACCTTTTATATCCATCACCAATCCTTTTATATCCACCTCCAATCCCCTCATACATGTTAGACAGGCCACTGCCTGAATTGATTTAGCTGCATGGTATGATGTGAAGGCTGGGGTTGCCTTTGATAAGAGACTAATACAAGTCCTTTGTATAATCCTATTCTCATTCTTGTAGTGTTGCTCTCCTATAGTATTCGTTACTCATTCACACTAGTGGTCTTCTAAAGATTAAAATTATTTTGCATTTCTGTTACTCATCCAATGTTTTAAAATAATGTCACTTACAAAACAGAAAATATTTGTAGTTTTAAATGAACTTGCCATTAGGATCCATTTCCAATTTGTTCCTATGAAATTATAGGTAGCTTGAGAGTTAATAGTCCTCATAGGAAATGCACTATTTGCTAATATTTATGGTAATCAAATAATAGGAAACAGAGATATACAAAACAGCATAGACATTGAATTTTCTGGTATTAGTATACAATATCCATATTAATGCTAATGAACAGACAATGATATTAAAGCAAATGAAATTTCATTATTTCTCAGTGTATAATCTGAGAGCAAATTCTTATTAAGGAATTCTATTCACATTTATCATCAAAGCTTCTATGTTCAGATCACAAGTAAAATCAAAGGAAAGATAAAACTGAAGGATAACAAATGAGAAGAATGATTCTCCTCTATGGAACAATCTCCTAGTTATACTTATATTTTGGATGAATACATTACTTTTTGCCTAATATAGAAAATACTATGAATATTTTCTAATGTCTTTATCTTGTGACAACTCAAGGAACTTTATTGTTTTCTAAATCAAGAAATATTTACAGAGTACCTGCAGAATGCATGTGCTGAGGATTTGATGGGAAGTAAATTTAAACAAAGGGGAATTTTTATTCTAGAGAAATAGACATAAACAATTATAAAGATTATAATAAGTACAAAAAAAGAGAGGAGCATGGTACTAAGAAACTTTATTATATGAGATAAGATCAAATTTGGGTGATTAGCAAAGTCATCTCAGAATGACGGATGAGCTCAAATCAGAGGATAATTAACCAAGTGGGAAAGGAGAGGAAGAGCTGTCTAGGCCCAGGGAACTTCACATGTGCAGACTTCTGGAGGAAGGGGCAGGGCAAGGACAGGGGGCTGAGAAAAGGCCACTATGGCTTATAGTAGAAAGAGGGAGATGGAGTAAAGGACAAAATGAGCTGGAAAATATGGAGGGATGAGATGGTTCCTTTGTAGATTATGTGAGGAGCTTTGATTTATCCTAACCATTTACTTGTCATAAATAAGGTGACATAATTGGATTTTAGTTTTAAAAGGTAACTCCAGCTTCAGAGTGGAAAGAAGGGATCTCATAAGATCAATTAATAACCAAACTAGTAGTAATTGAAAAGTAAGCTGTAAAAAGAATGATTTGTATTTAGAAAGAACGGTATAAAATTTAATAATTACGGTAGTAGAAAAGTTGCGTGGGATGAAGTATTTCTTTGGTTATATGCATTCATTTTTCATTTAAAATATAAGGCCGGTAGAGACAATTCATCATCAAAAGGAACAGCAAAGTAGCACAGGACAGAACCAAAATCAGTTGAGTTTTAGTTATTTTCTTTTTCTTACCTGGTCATGAATGGGTCAGCAATATACCATAAATCTTTAATGGCTATATTATAATATTAAAAACACTAAAGGGAATATAATGAAGACTAGAACTCTAACTGATTCTACAAATACATACATGGATGGATTATCAGTTGAACACTATGTACGGAACACCTGGATTATCAAGAGGAACAGATAGAAGTTGGAGAAGACAGATTTGCTTTAATTAAGTAAGAGAGAATATTCCAACATTTTTGGATGACACAAAATTTTGTAGTGTAATGATTTTTTATTTATTAAGTTATATTTTCCCCTTCAAAGAAATTAGTAACTTCTATTTTATGATTGTGAGCATGCTCTTGCTTTTAAAAAATAAAATCACATATTTACCATAAGGTGTAGAATTTAAAGTGAAAACAATCATTTTGGGTGTTTATATTAATATATTCTACATCAATAATATCTTTTATTTAACCATTTTGTGGCTTATAAATTTTAATCAATACAGGGCTCTCAGGAAGCCCCAGCCAGTCGTTCCTACTTCCACCTGATTAACTAACCTGGAGTCAATCAAAATATTGCAGAGAAACAGAATGAATTGTTTTTTCGTCGTAAAGTGAACATGATG